TCTGAGTTATATGTGCTCCTGAGAATGGAATCTGACTGTGGTAAGCAGCGACTAAGAAGCCCCGGGTCCCTGAGTATGGACTGCACTAGCCACACTTTTCTGACAAATATAGTACAAGTGATCAAACTGTGAACTGCCCTGTAAAGAGGTCCATGTAGCAAAAACTGAGTGAAGATTCCAGACAACAAACTGAAGCCCTCAGTGCAATAGCCCTCAACGAACTGAATCCTACCCAATCCAATGTGGGTGAACTTGGAATCAGATCCTTCCCCATGGAAGCCTTTCACCCCAGCCCTGACTGACACTTTGTAGCCCAGTGAAAGACCTTGAACCAGAGGCACAACCAAACTGGTTCCAGATTCCTCCCCAGAGAAACAGTGAAATAATATGTTTGTTGTTTTAAATCTCTAGATTTGAGGGTAAGTTGTGACAAAGTACCAGACAATTAACACATTGACTGTCCTGGCATCTATTCCCCAATTCCTAATCCCCCACCTGCCCCTAATTTTCCCCTAGATGCCTGATATCCAATATCAGAATCCTTGTACATATTCCCTATCCCCACAGCACATGTTGGTGGCGCGATTGCACCCAGCTCTTGGGACCCCGAGGAATGCGCCCACCGCTGTGCTACAAAGGCAACAGATGGTTGAACCGATAAAGTGGACGCAGATTTGTGGTCATCCTATTTAACAGCCTGAGGCGCCGTGAAGAGAGTGCCAACACCTGCGCAATAAAGGGAGTGCCGGCATGTGGCAGTTGCCGGGGAGGTGTGATAAGAGGAATTCCTCACTTCCCCCAAACCTCCTTCTCAGTAAATTTCCACTCTTCTCCGCCAAACTTCTACCCTTGCTGCCTAATGACATATAAAGGGGGGTCACGGACAATAAAGAGAGACTCCTGGATGAAGAACCTCGGCGTCCTGTGTTTTCTTTAACCTCATCGTCCCTCGCCGGACTCGGCTCCGATCAGCCAGATGCGGCAAACACAGATGCTTGAACACACACCCAACCCCACCCTGACCATCCATCACCATCTCCATCAAGTCCCAGCAGGGCAGAAACCCCTTGGGAGCCCAAATAACAAAGCAACTGGCCAGGTAATTCCTCAAAGGGCCCACAGGAATTCAGACCAAAGTGACCCAACCAGATTCCAACTCAACTGAATGAAAAAATGTCTGTCAGCATGTCTAGGAAAGGTGGTGACCTCCAGTGAGTCACATGAACAGTGAAATCCCTACCCCCATGGATTATGCAATCCTCCCCACAATGTCGTCCTACTAATTATAAGCATATCAACTTCTTTCTTAATCATACATAGCTTTGTCCAAGTTGTATGCCCCAAGACCAATTTCTCACTACTAGGAGTTTTAGGCACCCCAGGTGCCTGGACACTAGGCTGGGAAGGTGAGCCATTTGCCACCCCATATGTAAGTGGTAGCCAGAAGAAAATATTCCCACTTTCTGAAAACTACCTTTGTGCATGCTGTTCCTCTCACTAGAATTCCTTTATTTAATCCAAATAGATGCTACCCATCCTCAATGACCTCACTCTAGCCACCAGCTCCTCCAAAAAACCATCACTAGCCCTCACTCTCCACTGCATACTTTCCAAGGATTTGTTACAGCTCTTTCATGTGCTAGCCCCAATGTAGCAAAAGGCAAGGAACTGTGTCTTCATCAACACTCTATCTTCTATGCCTCCAATAAATCAAGTCTAAGGAGCTCCATTCATTTTTGCTGAATGAATTTGCAAATCAAGTCATCTACTACTTCTTTGATGCTACAGCAGTAAAAGTTATTGTATTAGAAGTTATAACAAGGGAAGCCTACCTAATGGCACAGGGATTGAAGTCTCAGTGCTATCAAGCAACACCAGCCATTTCAGCATGAGTTTGACCCATGACCAGGAGAGGACCGGGTCCTCTCCTGTCTCACCCACTGTTGCCCTCAGCAACATATTTCAGTATATCTGCCTGTTCCGCTCCCCACTCTGCCGCTGGTGAAGCCACTCACCTTAGCCACCCGCATCTCTGGCCTATACCCCAGTACTTGTATGCATAAATAAAAATAAATCTTAAAAAAAAAAAGAAAGAAATTATAACAGAAGTGGTCTTATACTAAATGAAATCCCATTCCCAATACAGCAAATGTGAGACCCATGTTTATGTAATCCAAGTACAAAAGTTGAGACCTAATGAGAAATAATGAGAAACAATCCATGTTGTCTGTCTCTACTCCGTGAGCTAGAGCTGTCTGTCCATGAACTTCCCATGTGGACAGGGACACAGGGTCTCTGCAGACTAAATTCACTAACTAGCTATTGTAAATCTGTGTGCCTCCTTCATGAATTAGAAAATTTTTAAGGAAAACCTATCAAATTATTTTTTAAATAATAAACTTTGAATTTGATGGAATTCATTGTAGATTAAGACCCAAACAGACAAAAAAGAATATTGAACAACATACGAAAACATTGTAAACTAAACAGATTACACTGTGTACAACTGTATGGCACTATATGCTCAAAAGGAAGGAAACAGGAAAGGGAAGGAAGCAGGGAGGGGAGGAGGGCGATGGGGAGATGGACAGACAGACAGACAGACACAGATAAAGGCGATTATGAGGAGTTACCAAGAATGACAGGACACCTGAGGAAGATACATGAAAAAAACAGGCCTCTGGGTGGAAATTACAATTGAAGTGTACTATACGGGTTGATGTGGATAGACTAACAAGGAATTTTTAGCAGAAGGCATATGAAACATTTATTTGGGATCAATAAAAGGTACTCTCTGATACAACATATACTGTAGTTATAATAAAATTTTGCCCCAAAACACAATCCAGACTAAAATAGGAATTATTTCAAGAAGAATCTGTGTACATTTAATGTAAACTAGTTTTAAGGACCCAATTAGCTTGGGGCTTGTCTCATTACTAAATCTATGATGAAAGAAGACATGTATAATGCATTCCTACAGCATACCAAAATACCAGTATTGATCAAGTGTGCAACTGATTGTTGCACTGTGAGCTAAACTAGCCATTTTTGATGAAACATAATTTTTATTTGAAAGAATAACTGACAAAATATGGACTTTTGTATTTGACCTATATTTTCCCCAAAATGAATAAAATGATCTGTTGTTCAAAAAAACAGACTTTTTGTTACTGGTGTGAAAATTCAACCTTAGGAGCAAAAAGTTGTGATAAATTTGGAAACATTGTTCCCCAATACTTAAAAGATACAAAAGATAAAAAGGGAAACCCTATTGTTACTAAATGATACTGAATGTGGGAGACTAATTATAATTAACCTTTTAAAGTTATGTTACTTAAAAACAGAGTAACTTAATGTATTGATATTTCATGTCAATTGAATTTTGAGAATCTATATATACTGTACCAAAGTACTAATAAAAAACATGGAAGACTACCAAGTAAAAGCTGGAATTCTGATTTCCTTTGATACCAAGAAAGTCAGAAAAATGTCCCAAGTACAAAATTATTCTTTCTCCAAAATCTCTCAAAGCTAAAATAACATCCCCCAACAATATCCAGTGTCTAGTTGCATAAGAACGTAAAAACTGCTGCATAACTAATCATTTAAACTTCCAAAATAGTAGAGGGTTTTTAGGAAAGCCTGATGAATATTTTGACTACTCAAATCCACTGTCAATCTACTGCAGGCTTTAAGAAGGGTTTTATTTAGCCTACAAAAAAAAAAGTGCAATAAAGGAAAATAATACGGTAAAATACTTATCATACTTCTTCAAACTTTAATCTCAAACTCCTATGCTGGGATACATCAAAGTTTCAACAATGCATGTCTTTTCAAGAATCATTATGTGAGTTTACAGGTCTTACTTAAACAACAAAATTTTAATCAAGAAAAAGTCACACTAAGTAATTTTGTTTTAGGAAATAAAAGTCTCAAGTTTTTGGTTTTTTTTTCCCCTCTTCCCCTGCCCTGCAATTCATTGCAACAATCAATTATCACAGAGGAAATGCCTGGTAACAATTACATTTCAAAATTCTACAGGAGTTTCTTCTGTTAGAGGTCATACATTTTTAGTTAACACTGGAATCAAGGGCTCAAAAGACTAGGAAATGTCTCCTGATCCTATGAAAGGATGCACACTGTTACTAAGTAACTTTACATTAAATACATAATAACTAGGAAAACTCATAACAGCTTAAGCAATATGTGTTTCAATATTTACACAAATTGTCTATTTTTTTCACTTATCAGAATGCCACATTAGCATCTTTTCCACCAAAGGGGAGAAGGGGCAAAGAATTAGATATTTATCAAACCAATTCAAGCAGATTATAAAAAAAATATTTTGACCCAAGAGACAAAAATGATATTAACATTTTAAACTACAACTAGCTAGTCACTGTTTTATCTCAGAAGTCATCCTAACAGGTAGCAAGACTACCCTACCTTGAAACCTGGACCCAAGTTGACTAAATAATGGAGCACTGTTTTTACATTTCACTTTAAAAAGTCCTGAGTGTGGCACAAATGTGCACTGCCCCCATTCTTTAAAAGTGACCTAGAACACTAAAATATACATTCCTGAACTCAAGCACATTATCTGCTGTTGTTTTCTCCATCATATTTTTACAATCAGTTATACTGAGAGTTCTTGACTAAAACTAAGCTTAAGCACTAAATCCTAGCATTAAGACTTGATATTGAATGGATAAAGCTGTCAAGAATATTCAAGAAAGATCAACCACACTGGTCATCACACCTTATTTTGCTATGTCCATTTAATACAGTTTTGAGTTATTTAAACCTGCTATTATTAATAGTACTCCTCATGTACCAAAGCCATGCCCCAAAGCAGGTCATTTGACACGTCTGAAATAGTGTCTCAAATTAAATGCTTTCTTCTGGGCTCCTGTTTATTCAGCTTCCAAAACCCAGAAGTCACAGTCAGCGTTTCCTAAGGTGTGACCTGCGAAATGAGGGTGTGTCCCGGTACTTACCGATGCCTGGAGCCACATAGATGAAGTAGAGACAAGACGTGGAGAGGGAGAAGAAGAAGATGAAGGCCAGGAGGGAGCGATTGGAGACCCGCATCATCCGCCTGAGCACAGACATCTTCCTCTTCCCCGATAGCAGCTGGGGCTGCGCTCAGGCCGGACTAGGGGACCACCGTACAGGCCTTAAACTTCCATAAATGTGCCAAGAACCCCGAGAATGCAGCTAGGTCCGGGCGGGAAAGCTCTGGGGGAGAGGGCCCCAGCAGCCAAGAGGGAAGGGGAGGGAGCGGACGGAATGAATGGGAGGCCAAGCCCGGGGAGGAGACGAGCGGGAGGACTGAGAGGAAGGAAAGAAGAGGGGAGAGGGGATGTCGGGCAGTGGGGCCCGGGGACAGATGGGACCAGAGGAGGCCCAGGAAGGGCAAGGACCGCGTTTTACCCGTCCGGCAGCGGCAGGAGGAGGGGCTGCAGGTGGGGAGAAGCGCCGGGTGCGCGCGGCTGCGCCCCTGCGGAGAGGGGCAGCGAACTGCAGGGCGCCCCGGCTCCTAGGCAGCTCCAGCAGCCCGCGCCGAGGGGATCCAGG